TAGACCCGGCACCTTTTTGTTCTTACGCAGTATTTTATATATGTTATTTTCAGGATAATCCGAAGTATCAAATTTACTGGAATCAGCTTTAATGATCTCCTCATATGCATCCTCACATTGCAATTCGTAGATAAAACTGTCTGTGTCCATGTACATGAGCTTACACCTTTCTGCACCCATTTTTGGTAGCATATAGGTGTAATGAAAATCGTACATGACTAGTTTCGATAGGTCTAGAATTGCCTGCCCTACATACAGAGGTTTGTTAAACGTTATTTCAGCCTTGTTCAATTCGATAACCACCAGATTTTCCTCTAAAATTGTGCGACTGTGGAACCGAAAACTCGAAATCAAGTTTGCTGCCCCATAGCGACCACCCCAAGATTTAACGATTTTACATACGCGGTGCTTACGTATATTTTCCATGGTCTTACCGAATACTGCATTATTCATTAATTTAAAAAGATTTTTTTCGAAATCATTCCGGGCTGCAGCTCTACATCGAGTATTCAACTCGATGTAGGGTTTCAGCCAGGCTGCTTGTTTAAATTGTAAAATTTTATGGATTTTCGTTAACTTTAACCCATTAGCTAGCATTTGTTTTAAATTTTTATAGTGAACCGTGTACTCTTTTTTATCCGTAAGTGTTGCCATTAATTTCGGCAATTTTACCCCGCCGTCGCTGGGTGGTACGCTACGTTCTGCCGCAAACGGAAAATCTTTGTGTTTATCGTGCAGTTCTTGTGGGTACGATAGATCGACTTGTAGCACGTACCCTACGTCAGAGTCGTCGGGTATTGACATCACATCAAACGATGTTACATCATCTACCCATTTGAACCCTCCGTAGGGTAAGGGTTGCTGCATAGCATTCCCATATAAGTTATTCACATCCAGGTACATAAGGTACTTGGACGGCTTTTCAGGATCATATTCGGGCATATATTTATTGTTGGCCTCCGAAAATCGGTTGCTACACACCGAAATTCCACCTCTTATAGCATTTTCGTAAAACATCACCATATCTAGATCCTTTAGTAGTTCTAACTTACACCCAGTGTATTTGAGCATACAGTCCCACGTATATCCGGGCATTGTATAGTACCACGCAGGATCCAGACCATAGGTGGAGAAACATTTTTTACGCAATTGCTCAAAAACGTCGGCAAGAAGCAGAATATCTGTTTTTAAATATATATCAGAATACTCTCCTAATGTTTTAATGTTAAACTGTTGCCAAACAGATTGCGCATGAGCATACTTCTCGTCACTTACACTTTCATCGTTTAATTTATTGTAAAATTTTTCAATTGGGGGCAAAGTCGTTTCATTTAATTTTTTCAACGAATCAATGTAATCGTAACAGAAAACTCCTTTCTGTGTTAATAATTTGAATTTATCTTCATCTAAATTTTGAAATTCCCTTTGTAAAATTTTCTTTTCTGATTCTGCTAAAATTGCAGCTAATTCATCAAGAGACGCCCCCATAAATCGAAAAGAGTCTATAAACCGCAATTTAATGTTATTTTCATCTGAGTGCAGCGTAAAGGAGATGTATTTATCTTTGTTGATGGGAAGTAGACTTAAGCGACCTTTTTTACATAAATTCGAAATCATAAAGTGACTATCGTACCCACTTAAATTATGGAATATAACCGGCACAACAAACAATTTTCTAAAGTTCAGATTGCATGCTTGGTGTGCGTAACCTCTGAACTCTCCACTGAAATGGTTGTGATCTCTAACGATTATGTCTTTTTTTGTTTTTGAAAATCTCTTACCGCAAATATGACATGATGTTGCCTTACATGTGTCTAATTTTTCAATCATAGGTACGCTTGTTTTTATTTTTGAGTTTACAAATTGCGCAACACCAGCCATACGATTTGCAAACCAATCCATACAATCTGCACCTCGATAGCTCTCGAAATAAGAAAGGCTATCATCATAGCTGCATTTTACATAGAAACCAGCACTATACGGAACGTGTTTTTGATATTTTATGGTTTTAGTTAAATTTACGACGCTACTTTCTTTATGATTTTCTAATTGACATTCAAAATCTGCATAAACAACAAAAGGAGTATTTTGTTGGTATGTAAAGTTTTTAAATTCAACGCAGCTCTCTTTAGGAAGGTTAATTTTATATTTATTAAATTTAGAACACAGTTTTTCATGTTCAACTAATTTATTTTGCTGATGGAAATAGTTCAGACATCTATCGCAAATAAATTTTTTCTCACGATGTTTATTTAACTGGCTACTAATAAGACGCGAAAGATTTTTAATCCAACAATAGTGATATTTAATTTCATCGATTGAATCATTATCTTCATTCGCTAGTGGTGGAGGGGCATCATAATCATTTAAACGCGGATAATATTTATTTTGAGCTAAAAGTAAATTAACATGCGTATCCCGTTTATTTTCCGTTAATCTTGCTGGTACTACTATGTAAAATGATTTTTTTTCTGTTTCGATCAATTCTAAAGCGTAAACATTGACTGAAATGTTATTCATCTTTTCAAATTTTGAAATTTTTGTTAGCAGCATAGGACTATCTAAATTTTCTGTTTGTAAAACGTCAGTAAAGTGTGGATATGAGGAGGTTAGTTCTGCATGTCTTTTTTTGCTAGGAGTCCGAAGAGCGCTTACAATGGCCCAGTAAAAGCAATTTTGATCTATATTTTTAATGTTTATACAAGCATTTTTCTTTATAATCGGTTCTGGTAGTCTAATATAAGATGAACCGTTTCCCAATTGATATTTACTGATATTAACAACTAAGGAAATAATTTTATTTAACGCAAATCCCGAATCTTTTTCAGCAAATTCCGATAATTCGTTTAAAAGTTTATCTTTAACATATATCTTAAACCACTCGTCTATTTGAGTTGATGTATCAATAATATGATTTTTAGTATTAATATATTTAATTCCCAAAATTTCATTATCCCCCGATTTCCTAATAAACTCCCCGCAAAATGTTGTATTTACTTTGAGCGCACAATGGGTGTTCAAAATATTCCTAATTTTCCTTTTAAAAACAACTACACAATCTGCTAAAAATTGATTCAAGTCCTTATGACGCAAATTAGCTATGGAACCGGTTTTTATTCTACTTTGAAAGCTCGATTCTACATTTTCCCATCTAACCCTCTGACCCAATGTTAAGTGAAGTCCTGCCCCAATATGTCTAGTTAAAATCAACTTTCTAAAATGTTTAAAATGCCCCAAATTTGTTTCTACTTTTCTACAGGTCCCTACAGATAATTTATTTTGCCTTCTACTACGAATTACCCGTTTACATAATCTAATTTGTTTTTCTATTCGTTTCAGCCACACTTCCGCGTCTCTGATTGTAAAATTATCAAATAAAATTTTCCGTAGACTAACAATTGATAGTAGAACACCGTCTGTTTGTTTGATGATCTTTTTAACCTTATTTGAAGACATTTGAAAAGACGACATTTTTTTTTTCAAGCAAACACATTACTCAAAAATATATAAAAATGCTCACCCTGTCCTCCTCCTGTTCTCTGCTTTGTTAATTTTCCACTATTTTGAATGATGCTAGCGGTCGGCTTTTCCCTACGTCCACTTCCCCTTGGAAGATGATCGAGTATTTTCCGTGAAAAAGTTCGTCGATGACCGGCTGGTACGTTTCCGTCACCCGCTGTGGTAGAAATAGCACTTCCGGTCCTAAATCTAGTAGCATGGCTTCCCCAAATTTCGACTTGACCACTTTAGCTGCTTGGATTGCAAATGGTGTCCCAACTGGTAGGTCCTTTAATTTTCTGATAGGTTTGCGGTCTACAATCGAAGACGCAGCATTAATTTTTGATAAATCCATCTATAAAAAAAATTGAGTCGTCTAACTATTTTGAAGCATAACACGAAAAAAAAAAAAAACAGTTGCATTTAGAGACATAAAAAAGAAAAATATTAAATAAAATAGCACTTACTTTTTTTAAAATTTTCGCTCTCTCGTCTCTCTCGAAGCACTAATTGTACTGCGGTCGTTGTTGCAGCTTGCAGCGTTGTGCGTTAAGTGTGAAACAATGATGACTATTGCATGCGCTCGCTCAATATAAGTACGTAGTAGAGATGACACACGCGTGCATGAGATAATTGTATCGTAAATATGCATATTATATGCATCATATTCTCAGTACCATTTTTATCGAGAAAACTGCATGCGCTCGCTCAATATAAGTACGTAGTTGAGATGACACACGCGTGCATGAGATAATTGTATCGTAAATATGCATATTATATTCATCATATTCTCAGTACCATTTTTATCGAGAAAACAACATTCATTGCGGTTGCAGTATTTTTTATATAATTTCTTAGTAATACATGAATGTATCGTTTGTCCGGCGGAAATTCCAATTACAAGTTGCACATGAGAGTAGAATTTTAGAAATATAGAAATTCGTGTATGATTATTGTATATTTGCTGCCTAATTTTTTTTCAGTCAAGATTTTGATTGGGGGGGTAAACGAATTTATATTTGCTATCTGAGATTTTTGACATCATTCTCTATCAAGATGTTGATGTGGGTAGACGTATTATTTTTTATTTCAACTTTCACATACGTGCTTTGCAACGATTTCTCCGAAAAAGACGCTATAGTATACCTAACTCAATATGAACATATCATCGATAATACAACAGATCTCTCTACTTTGCTAACTAACTTGCAAGAAAAGTATAATTTACCAGTGGATGGATTGTTGAATAATGCAACAATTGAATTTATGAATCGTCCGCGTTGTCAATACAGTGATGCTGAATTTAGAGCAAGTTTTCCATTTCGGAAACATGACCTGAAATGGTATTTCCCTCGAAACACACCTGCGGCCCAAAAAGATGCAGAAATGGCTTTTCAGATGTGGCAAAATGTTTCAAACTTAACATTTACAATGGTTACCAATCCCACTCTATATCCTCCTGATATTACTATAACCATGGTTAGCAAGACTCATTATTTTAGCGCAAACTGTATGGGTAATGATGAATGTCCATTGACATTAGATGATGCTGGCGGCGTTTTAGGACATGCATACTTTCCTGACTCTAGCGGCACCTGTAGAGAAATCCATTTAGATATAAATGAACGCTGGTATTTTGGAAATAATCCTAATATACCCAAAAATCAAACTAGTTTTCTTATGGTGTTGGTTCATGAAATTGGACATGCCCTCGGCATAGCACATAGTGCTTCTCCGAATGCTATTATGTTTGCCTTCTATCAGCATGAGATTCGTGGTCTAGATGTTGATGATATAAATGCAGTACAATATCTATATGGAAGAAAAAACAAATATGATTCAATCCCAAAGTCTACCACCGCATCAGCAATACCAAAAACAACAACAACTATAAGATCTACAACTCGTAAGCAGCCGATCCTCAAAAATTTGTGTGATATTATTCCAGATTTTATGTTTTTAGCCATTGCTCCAGAGTTTTCAAATTACCGATTATATATTGCACATGATATGTTTATATGGAAACTAGACTTAAACGAAATGATTATCCCATCTCAGCCTGAACTTCTTGTCGATTATGTTCCTACAGAATTACGTCAATACACTTTACAACATATTTTCCAATCAACAAACGGTGACTTGATTACCATTGTGTCTCCAAACAACTATTTCTCAGCATCATTCCCTACCATTAAATTTCTTGATAATTTTTCAATTGATATACCCGATAGGGCTCGAATCAATGCTATTTTTCAATCAAACGCAGGACGGTCCTATACCTTTTATAATAATATGTCATATATAGAATTTTCTAACGATTTTACTGATGTGTTGAACAGAGGACGGATAAGAGACATATTTCCTGAATTACCTGAAGATATTTCTCTCGCATTTCGATGGATTGATGGCCATATTTACTTTTTCCGTCACGCAACTTACTATAAATTTAATGAATTTACAAGAAAAGTTGTTGCGACCGGACCATTTCATTGGACTCTATTTGGAGTACCATGCCCCAGCGAGGATTTGTTACATCAACTAAAAACTCTGTTATCTAAACTTGTATCTGTATATCATTAAAAAATACATTTTTCAGAAAGCTATGTTTATTTCGTATTCAGCCTGTTGTCAAACAAAAAAAAAACAGTCGGTTCCTTCGACTCCCCACCCCCCCACCATCATTCTACTACATAAAGTTTCATTTTGAACGGTATCATCCTGTATAATAATAACAGTACATCGTATACAGGTTATGAGACATTCTGACCGACCGACCGACCGACCAGAGGAGCCCACCACGCTATTTAGGTCACGCCTTGCTATATACGATTTAACGATATACCGTCGGTCCATCGATCCGCTATTTTTCGATGCACCCCTGTATACACGTTCTGAATGCCCCCCGTAATCCACGCCAACACCAGACAGGTGCGACATCGGCGCCATCTATGCGCGAGATGCCCAACCCATCAATGGCAGCTGTCCAATGACACATAGATTCCGTTTGGTTTGTACAGCGTCAAACAAATCGGCGCCATCTATGCGCGAGATGCCCAACCCATCAATGACAGGTGTCCAATGACGTATGACAGATGACGTGTAACGCCATCTATGCGTGAGATGCCCAATGACGCATGACAGGTGTCCAATGACACACAGATTCCGTTTGGTTTGACAGCGCCATCTAGCGGCGGAATCCCCAACTCATGAATACAGATTCCGTCCAACAACCTGTCAATGGCGCGCGACGCCAGCGCCTCTGGTGGCGGATTTTGGAAGTTTTGAGACCGAATCCCCATAAGACATCTACTAACACAAATAATTTTAGCTGACCTTGAGCGAGCTAGCATGTGTTTTGTTCAGTCTACCGGACATTGAAACAACTTTTTGATGCCGATTCTAAGGTTTCACGCAATGGTTTGAACGTACAGGCAGTTATGATTTAAAAATTGTACTTTTGAAATTTGACCAATTTCGCCCTTGCACTCAAAGAATTTTTATTCTCCTACTCTGTATGTATGCATGTAGGGGGGAGGGGGGTTGGCAGAATTCCATTAGCCACAGATTTTCTAAATTTGTATTACGTGATGCTTTATATGACCACCTTAGCTAATTTTGCGAACTCAACTATTTTGTCCAGGATGGACTTTCTGTTTAAACTTAGCAATGATGACAATTGGATTGGAAGTGATATCTGCTCCTCCAAAATTAATCTTTGTATTAAATTAGAAACATGAAGCTCATCTCATTTCCTGTGCATTCAAAGAAAATATGACTTAAATCTGCTACTTTGGTGTTGTCACACTGGCACCAGTTATTATCAATGATTCCCATTCTGTAGAGGTGATCTCCGAATCTACCATGATTTAGTCTCAATCTCGTTATTAGGGTATAGTAAAATCTTCCGACTTGATAATCGAAAATGTGTGATGACCTGACTGGTAAAAAAGGATTGATTATTGCATACGGGTTTCTAGAATTACTACAATATACAGTATCGGACAAAAATAGAGCGACGATATATTTTTTTTCTTCTATTGAAAACGCAATAACGCAAGAGGAATTAAAACTCATTAAAAGAAATACATTCATTGACACAAATACATTCTATACCAAACTTCTCCCATATTGACAAGATTCTAAAATGAAAAAGAAAAATCAAACATTCTTAAATGACAAAAGTTAAGCGACGCATACAATAAAAATAATACAAAACAGAATATTCAAAAAACAAATACATTATCATGTTGCCTTCCTAATATTTAGTCCATAGTCCTTTATTTGCAAGAACCTGGCAGCACCTTTGAGGCATAGAAGAAATTAAATTATCAATCATGTTTTGATCAATAGTTTTCCAGATATTTTCAATTTATTCAAAAATTTGCTGTTTATTTTTATAGGATTTGGTTCTAAGTTGCCTAACTACAATTTCCCACAGGTTTTCGATCGGATTAAGATCGGGTGATTGGGCTGGCCATTTAAGAATGGTGATTCTATTTTCATTGAACCATTCTTTTATACATTTTGCTGTATGTTTTGGGTCATTATCGTGTTAAAAAACAAATCGTAGTGGCATATTCCATTCTGCATAAGGCAGCATGATATTTTCAAGGATATATTTATACTTAAACCTATCCATAATGCCCTCAATGTGATAAATTGGTCCCATTTCATAGCCAGAGAAACAACCCCACACTAACACGTTTCCACCTCCATGTTTTATAGTACCTTGGACATACTTTGGGTCGAGTCTTTTCCTGCAATACGCCGAATATATTGAACTCCATCACTTTTGTGCAAATAAAACTTTGACTCATCTCTAAACAGTACTTTTTTCCATTGCTCTGGTGTCCAATGAGCATGTTGGGCTGCAAACAGACGACGTGCTTTAATATTCTTCTCACTAAGAAGCGGTTTTTTTGCAGGTTTGCATGCCGTTAAGCCTGCTTCAACTAGTGTGCGCTGTATAGTCCGAGAAGAAACATTAGAGTCCCCAGCTTCAGCCAGAATTTGTTTTGCTGACAAAAAAGGATTTGCCTGAGAGATCCTCTTAATTCTCCTATCAATTTTCTTTGTAGTTTTTCTCTGTCTTCCCGTTGTTTTAGGTTGACTACTTTACCCCTAATTCGATAATTCTGAATTGTCCTTGCCACCACAGATTTTGAAACCCTCAGTTCTTGTTTTATTTTATATTGTGGTATTCCCATCTTATATGATGCAATAATTCTTTCTTTAAGATCAATAGAAAAACTTTTACCGCGAGGCATTTTATACACAAAATAATTTGATACCGACCACAACCGATGTTTATGTACTAATGGTATGAACCATCGACTTTAAAACGAGCATAGACCCAGCAAGTCATTCATAAAACTACATTAGATTCGTTGACGACATAAACAAAGCACAAAGTGGTGGCGAGGGGCTATGAGGGAACAATAAAATGGCCGCCGCATGAGAATTCAGGTTGTGAAACCTCACGTCACTGAAGACTCTATGTATAATCATTGGTACAATTACACATAGGTGTAGCATACAATACGTATAAGGGTGACAAAATAAGCGTATTTAAATCAAGAGCATCACAAAAAAAACGGTACGAAGTTGTGTACTAACAAATATATTACTCATATTTGTGCAATATCTAGTTCAATTGGAATACTTACGTGAACTCTATTGAGTGGGCAGGATACAAAAGCCTTTAAAATAGAAACTCCAAGTTATTATGTTCTATTTTTATTCATACATATATATATATATACATATATTGCAAAATGTAACAAATCAGGGAACATGGAATGATTATCGACACCCCAAATAACGTTTAATATAATCACATAGCTCATTTCCATATCTTCATTCATAAAAATACACTAAGTATCAGCTGAAATGTATATATCGAGCAGTTTATCACTTTTGATATAATTTTTATGTGTTACTATGAAAACATATTGGGTACACATATTAAATAGACATAATAATTATAACCAAAATAGTAGCAGTCATATAAGAACAAAGTTTTGAATATAAGACAAACCTAGGCTATCTAAAAACTAAAACAAACGTTATTAATCCTCTTACCACCTATTAAACTGTAAACCAATCATTCTGTATGTTGCAGTATTATGTATTACAGGATGGAAAATTAACTTACAATACACCAATATGCAGCCAATAAATGTTCTGCCAGATGTTGAAACAGTTTTTGAAGAAATTATTTACGAACAGATCATCGAATTTATTGAGAGAAGTAACATTTTATCCAAATTTCAAGCTGGATTCAGGACACAAATGGTTTTAGAGGACTGGAGGAGATGTATAGACAATCGGAAACATACAGTAACAGTGTTTTTTGAACTTCAAAAGGGAGTTTGGCTATTGAGAGGGATAAATTACTTACAAAATTGCATCACTACGGATTTAAAGGATCTGTATTAAAAATTCCACAAAACTATTTAATTGACAGAAGTCAAAAAATCAAAATTGGATCTACATGATCAATATCAAAGAATATTTCTTTTGGTATACCACGAGGTAGTAAACTAGGTCCACTACTATTTATTTTATACATTAATGACATTTGTAATATTTTAGATTATTGTAAACTTCAGATATTTGCAGATGATACATTAATATACATATCAGATGAAAATATAGACACTGCTTTAAAAATGCTAAATTCTGACTTGGCAAAAATCGTAAATTGGTTAAATGTAAATAAACTAAAATTGAATACTTCTAAAACAAAATGTATGCTAATAGGGAAATACCTAAATGAAAATACTATCACAGTTAGGATAAATGAAGAGATAATTGAAAATGTTGCATCAATTAAATATTTAGGTATATACAGGGTGATTTCGAAGTTGAGTCATTTATTTTAACAGTGAGTAGATCTGATCAAAA